ATATATATATATATATGCAGAAAGCCTTTAATTACCGGTAATGTCACAGTTCACCTCTCCTCAGGTGGACGGTCCAGTATGTATTTAGAAATGTACAATTGCTTTGTGGCTTTGCATTTTTCATGATACTCATCACTAAATAATTGCTTTTACATGAGTAAAGTTTTAGTAGATCAACCCTGGATCGATGGCTGTGTCTCAAATCCTAGTGAGTTCCCAGCTTAGACAGCATTGTTGTGTATCATATTCATATCGGCCTGTATGTCTATGTTTGATTGTACTGTCACCAGAACAAATATGACGTCACTACCGGAGCTGTGCTGAAAGGCTGAATGGCTGTTGCACATGTGTGATTTTCCCGAGGTTAACTGCATTGCCAGCACTAGTACTCTAATTCTATTCTAATCAAAGGAAGTGGCTTAACAAAAACTGTTCAACTTACCAATTTTAAGTTCCCGATATATATATATATATAATATCCTATTTGTGTGTGTAGCATACCTGCAAACATTTGATCATCCTTATGTAAAGGACAAATTAACAGACAAAAAAGATCTCTAGTTATGTTCTAATCAAATTAAGTGTCTTAAAAACGGTTCACCTCACCAATATTTAATTCCTAGTATGAATAAAAAGCATTTGGCTCAAATCCTTTGTCAAAATTTTGAATGAATGAATGCATAGAGGGAAGGTTTTGTGTGAAAACTGGGGGAAAAAATGATCAGAATGATTTTTTTTCAATGCTTACGCTGGATTTCCCAATTGCACAAATATCCCATTCCCGTCGTATAGTACTGTCTCCATACCAGGTGTTTGTAAACAGTTATCAACACTGAATGCTGAATAGTGGTGCCAAAAATAACTAAAAATAATTAAATGTCAGGACTCCAGGGACCTGAAACTATTTGAAATGTGTGTCGCTCCTTGTGTGCATTGGCAAGTGAATATTACTCCTTGCTTCCTTTGCAACATTTGATTTAGTCATTGCAAACACGTTTGAAGTGCATCCTCAAGGCCACATAGACCACAGCATCCCTCTGTGTTCAACACATTGAGTGTGATCAGATTCCTTTGGATGCTTTCCTTTTAACCGTAAACTTTTTCTTCCAAAATAGGCTTGTGTTTATCAGTTCTTTAAAAGTATCAGTTACCTTTTGTGTTCCTTGTAATGAACATGCTCATTTGTAACCAGAGTTTGTCTGGCTGTAAATGCTTCTTTTCAGATGAGACCGCTTTTGGCACCCAGAAACACACCTCCAATCTTCCCCCACTGTTTCCTTTTATCTACTTTTACTACATCTCTAAATATAGTAAGAAAATGAGGAGATATGTGGGACAAGATCTCGCTCCTCTCAGTATCAAGCAGGCCCCTCTTTCTCCTGTGCTCTCTTTATTTACACAATCCTGGCAGCAAAAGCTTAACCGAACCACCAGGGC